CCCTTCTGGAATTCATCCCGTGTCCCCTCGTCTCCCAAACGCTCTACTTTCCACCGGAACACTTTCCTCTGTTTCTTACTCTCCATCTTTCTAGATCGGTCGATGTTTGCCCATATGAGGAAGTGGTCGGTCGAACCTATATCTATCGCACTTACGTGCAGCTCTGGGATCTGCGTGCTCCCCCTATCTACCAGGATGGATGAAGTCGAGGATCGAGTATTCATTGCAAACTGCCCGTTGCCTGGTGAACTCCGGCTTATCGCATTCCCTCCTACCGTTCAACACCATCAGTTCGTTGCTTGGCGGGGGGGGGGGGGCATACCATTGCCCACAGGGGGTAGGGAGAGCAGGGAGACACATGTACGGTAAATCCGAGTCCCCCTAAAACACTCGACCACACGAAGTGTGATAGAGGGCACGCAACGTCGTACGGTCGAGTCGGCAACCAAGTCTCAGCGACTTCCTCTTCATTCGTCGAGCCTGCAAGGACAACAGGAAATGCATGTGCACAACCCTGAACCACCGGATTGCTGAAGGATTTAAGGGGTGAGAACAAGGAACCGAACGTTGAGGAGAAGCGAGCACTCACTCACCACGATGAGGCGGCAAACCACGTGCAGGAAGCCCACGACAATTCGGAAGCGACGCCATCTCCGCAGGGTGCCGTCGTCATCACACTGCACCCCTTGTGTTGCCGCCGCGGATCCCGCCCCCACGGTGGGAACCTGCACCAGGCTGCCGGCCATCACCAGCGTCGACACTGCTACCGTGGGCGAACCGATCGTCTGTATATGACAAGAGAAGAAAAATAAGAGCAGAGAAGATAGCAGGCGGTAGTCGTAGTCGCCCGATCGGGGAGGGGAACAGCGTTTGCGGGGTCGGATGAACTTGTGTGCTGCACCAATGCTTGCCGAGTTTGAACATGAGATTCGACGAGCAATGCGCCAAACACGGGGTACTCCCAAGTAGCAAACACGTACCCCCTGTTCAATCGCGACAGGCGTTGCGGCCAGGCTACAATGACCCACCTCGATGGCCGCACCAAATGGCCGCAGAACCGCCCTCGGGCTATCGAACAGCAGCTCTTGTAGGGCCGGAAGCATGGCGATGATCACACCGATCGCGACTGCTATCATGTTGGGCGACACCGCAAGACGCCACAACCGACGCCGTAGCCCCGCCCAGGAGAAGCAGCCCGCGTCATCGCCATCTTCGCCCGCGTGCGAAGCAACCGCCGTGCCGCCGGTACCGCTGACCCCTTCGTTCCGCCGACTAGCGCCGACAATCACTGCGCCGTCGTGTATTGGGCTCTGCATACCACTTCCGCCATCTGCCTGCAGTGGGGGCAAGGCGTCCCCTTGTGCTATCTCGCAGGGTGAGGATATCTCGACATCGTCAGTGGTTGCTTCGGACGGTATTTTGGCTTCTTCCCCTGCGAGCTTACGCTCCAACTCGTCATCCTGCCCAAGGGCGTAGAAACCCCAGGAGTAAAACCACACCTGCAACACAAAAGCGCGGCAGAGGCGTGGTTTGTTGTCGGTACATGAGAGGGTTGGTGTACTCGTTCGTCTTTCCCCCGTTGTCGTTCATCCTTCAAGGACCGGTTTTCTTGCTCAACAAAACGAGTCCGAGCGTTTCGGAGAGATGGACTGACGAAAAGGAAAGGTGTAAATCACCTATGGCGCACGTGGTGAAAATAAGCGGGTGGGTCAACAAGAGAACAGCAATCAAGCTGGTTCATGCTAATGCGGTGTCCTCTCCAGCACTGTAACGTGCTGGTTAGCCGTCGACAAACCACAGAAATCACGGAGGTAAGCCAGAGTACATTCCACTTGCGCTGTTCCGCACTTACGTCCGCACTGCTTTTGAATAACCATTCATCACCACCGCCCTCACTGCCTTCACTCACTTGCCAGACGACCACGTAAATGAAGATCATGCCGGTTGCTTGTGTGAAGCACTCGACCTCGTCATCATCAAAATCACTTGGCACGCAAACACGGGTGTATTTCAAAGGGAGGGGGCGGGCGGGGCAGGGTGAGTTGGGGGGATGAAGCAACGCTACCTGCCGAAAACAATATTTCACCTATTTGGTCTCTTTGCTGGAATGGTCTACACTAACTTGCAGGATTTGCCCGTAACCATGGAACGAAAATCCTTGCCTCCTCAATGTGTGCGAGCAGGCGGCCGGCCTCGGCGCAAGTTCGCACGTCGCTATGTATAACCCGGTTGTTTCGACCCCCCTCCATAACAGCACATTGTCGAACAGCTTAGTGTTTTGTGTTGGCCACCTGCGGAAGCACTGCTGCTGGTGACGCTGCAGAGGGACACACTTTTAATGACAACCAGGAACACACCACAGCAGTGGCATCGCTAGCAGACATGACTCCAATCACTGCGCTGTTCAATCTGACCAATATCACACCAGCCCTTCCTTAAAGTACATGTTACCTGTTGATGTAGTCTTGCTCGCAGAGTGCATCCACTAGCAGGAGCGGAAAACCGGCGGAATTCGGGAACGCGATCGCCAGGGCCGCGGGACGAAAGGCGCGGCGATCTTCAGGACGTTGGAAACTCACACGCCCCACCAACCAGGCAACTACTCCAGAAAACCCTATGGTGAAGCTTCCCGTCACGACCAGCTGCCAGGCGTCTTGCAGCGTGCCCGGAGTCAAGGTGGCTCCGGTGCCAGCGGTCATAAGCGCTGGCCAAAACAGTAGCGCGCAGACCCGGCTGATGCAGCGGCAGGTGTCCTTTGTCAGAAGTGCTGTGCGGCAAGGTGGTTTATAAGGATCGCGCACAAGGGCAAATCCGTACAGCAGCAGCAGCAGCAGCAGCAGCAGCAGCAGCAGTGCAACGGAAATTTGTCAGGTGGAAAAGCTAACCAACCGATAACCCATATCAGATAGGTGTTTCTTGACGGGAGAGAAAGATTGCTCTTCATCTGTGATCTGCCCTGTATCAATGATAGCTTCGGCAACCCCAACACAAACTCGGGGGCGGTCCCACGGCAACTCGTACATGCAGCGTTTTCCCGGTGCTGCTCACGTTCATTACGAGGGAACTTCGACGCCAAGAAACCCGCCAAGAGCACCACGGACAGTCGCACAGTGCCTAGAACGCTTGTTATAAGCGCGGTTAGGATCGCATCCATGCCTTTGCCTGTCGGGGGGAGCGGAAGAAAGCTGAGAGGGCGTGGGAGACCGCGTCAGCATTTGAGCCGAGACTGTTGTGTTGTGTGTTGTCAGCCAACCGAAATTTGCGAAACATGCGGAGCAACTCCCAGCCAATCGAGGCGACACACCGAGGCATGCGACACCCCCCCACAAAGCAAGAGATCTTCGTTCTGTATGGCTGCGGGTAGAGCTTGTAGAACACACTTGGTCACGAAGTTGACTATCCTATGTAGAGAGCACTGAACCTATCTATCTACTGGCGTCAAAACATCGTCGGCAGATCTCCCTCGTTCACCCGCTCTCTATCGAGAGAAAGCTGGCCACCTCGACTCATTCTTTGTTGTGCAGCCCACCCGGACACTCCTGGTTCGGTGTTCCTAGACACCAACAAGAATCCCCTGACGGTGTACGCGAGACAAGGACCAATGGATGCGATCATAACAGCTCTTTCGACAAGTGTTCTCGGCACTCTGCGGGTGCTTGCGATCCTCCTTGCCGGATTCTTCGCGTCCAGATGGCCGAAAAGTGAACGTGGGTCAACCAAACACATGTGTGCTGGACTTGTCATGTTCTTGGTACAGTCTAGTCTATGCAACGGAGATCTGTCTTGTGTTCATGTAAATGCAACGATCCATCAACATGAACGTCCTACATATATATGCACGTATGGCCAGTGTGGTGCAGGATTTGGTGGGATGCGCACCGCTTCTATGCATATAAAGGCTGCGACTTAGAATGTAGCTGTGGACTGTAGAATATTGTCGTAGAAAGGTTACTCGAGGAAGGTTGGGAGGACGAGCTTGGTGTGCCACAATTTAGCCCGCCCTGCCGGTTGGATAAACCCTTCAATTAGCGATGACAGCGTTCGCTGTGCGTGGTGTCGTGCAACCTCTCGGTCATAGTCATGTTGTGGTTCGTGCTCTTTCAACCTGCTAATGTTGTCTTTCGCAGCTTGCTTCAATCTGTTCTGCTTACCTTTTGCAATCGCGCCGTTGCTGATGCAGTTCTTCTAGGCATATACCACTACACTGCTGTGATCATGACTCCTCTGGATTTTATGTGTATTCCTGGGATGACGTTGTTTGTTCGTACTCACGCACTCTGTCGCAGCGCTCCTCGCCAAGGAGACCTGCCGCGCGTTTAGCCGGGCCTGCGCGCTCCTCTTTCTGCCTTCGCTGATGATCTCAAGCTTGGGAGCTACCCTAAATCCGGAGGCACTGAAAAATTCGTGGCAGCTGGTGGTAGCCGGGAGCTTCACGGTTGCTCTTTCGGGAACCGTTGCGTGGGTGGTCGGGCGAGTTTTCTTCCGGAGGCCTGAAGATCGCCGCGCCTTCCGTCCCGCTGGGCTGGCAATCACGTTCGCGAACTCAGCGGGGTTTCCGCTCCTGCTGATGAACGCTTTGTGCGAGCAAGACTACGTCAGAAGGTGATTTGATTCATTGAACCAGCTTCGTGGAAGCAGGGTTGTTCTTTATTCCTTCACAAGTTGCAAACCGTTGGGACCTCCACTACAGTAAGTACCAAGCACTTGCCGTAACGAAACCTGAAAACATGGACGACACCCGGAGAAACTTACCCGCTAACTTGAAGACTTGAAACGCAACGCAGGACACGCCCGTACTTTTTTTTTTATCCCGGAAGTCGAGCAATAGACGAAATGTGCGTACATGGAGCATACTCACTACCAAAAATGACGTGACCCTGAGGAGCTCGAAACTTGACGTTCGATCGTTCGATGCTAGCGTCTTTGCCTACACCTTCGATGAATTCCCAATAACTGCTCTTACACGCTTTGTGTTGCTACACTCCATGCAAAGTCTACCCACTTAGCGCGGCATTGTTGCCTGCGCCCAATACGTTTGCGGCGGTGAGTACGCTCGCAAGCGGCCAGCCGGTATAAAGTCTAGTGTCATATCTGTGTGCACTAATAGGTCAATCAAGCCCAACTATGTCGTGGCACAATGAGCTGCAGAATCGCTCTCTTATCGTGTTGGCCATCATGTACCGGTCATCACGAAGGGCGGCCCATGAGTCATGACGTACGCCAGCTCCACACACCACCATCGCCGCCACGAATGTGCTGATGAACCCCGTAACGGAACGACAGTGACTACAATGACGACGCTTTGGAGTGCTTCACACAAGCAACGGGCATGATCTTCATCTACGTGGTCGTCTGGCAGGTGAACAGTGGGGCAGGGTCGGATAGACGTTGTTAGCGAGTGCTAAGCGAGTGCTAAGCGAGATCTAAGCAATAGATCCAACAGTATGAGCGATCATTATCGCTTCACTCGTCAAGCTACGGATAAAAAAATGACAATTCCGGGTGCAGTAGAGACGTAACCGACTGTACGCACACCAACTGATATTATTAAGCTAGCCTGTAGTGATATTGACGCACAGTATTGGCGGTACTTCGAGGACGAGAAACCCCGCCTACCCCCAAGCAAACCATCGCATCTGGTGCGAACAACTGGCTGCACCCTTCGGCGGTGTGCGCGTCGTCAGATGTACTTTTTTGGATGGGGATTCTACGCCCTTGGGCACGACGACACTTTGGAGCGTAGCCTCACCGGACAGCAGACCAGGACACGAACACCTTCAACCAAAACCCGTGCTGCCGCAAGAGCTACGTCCTCAACGTCATCGGCGCGTCAAGAGCACGGCGGAGTCGGTCGCATCAACGCGGCGGAAGCAGTGGTCATCGACATCGAGCCGTGCACGGGAGAAGAAAGCAGCAGCGAGGGAACGACGAATGCTGGTGGCACGGAGGATGGTGGCGATGTTAGCGAGGGGGGTCCGTGGGCGGGATTCAAAGAGCGGGTCTCGCGTGTTCTGGTGTCCCCGAATATCATCTCCGTCACGATCGGTGTGGTTATCGCTATGATTGCCCCGCTGCAAGAGATGCTTTTCGACAACTCGCGGTCGATACTGCGGCCGCTGGGGGCCGCTCTTCAGGTGATCTCTTAGAATGAACGGCTCTGAAATATTCTTCATAGTGGGCTACCCGAAGCATCGATTTTTTCAGGTTGACTGTTTCGAACCGGTTCGATTCTGTTTTTTCTAGTCCGTGCTTCGTCTCCAACCCCCTCGAGCAATACGATGTGTGTAGTGGCACACACCGCCGTTCCTCTATCGTCTGTGTCTGACAAGTATTCGCCGTCGGACATCGCATGTTTTGCTCGTGACCAGACGGTGGGGACACCCGAGGTGGCGGTGTCAACGCTGGTGATGGCCGGCAGTCTGGCGCAGGTTCCCACCGTGGCAGCGGCATCAACACAAGGGGGACAGGGTGATGACGACGGCACCCTGCGGAGAAAGCGTCGCTTCCGAATCATCGCGGGCTTCCTTCACGTGGTGTGCCGCCTCATAGTGGTAAGTGAGCCCCTGCTGCATCAATTGAGGCTACGGCTAACTTGGACGGAAATTGGTATTGGTTGATCGATTTTTTGGCACTTTATCGTTTGGACCAGTAATCTGCATTGAAAACGTGTATTTTCATCGACATGTACTCAATAACTACGCGCTCGTTCTTCCCGACGATCTCAACTTTGGCCGTTAGTGTCAGATGTCACACACGGACCAAAATATCTAGAGGTGGAGGCTTCAGGTTCAACGAGCATTTGCCCTGTTTTCATCCCACATGCATTCCCCTACCCTCCTCGAGACCTCGGTCGCTCTACCCCTTACCTGACTGTCCGGTCAAACCCGTGACCAATCGCTGCTATCTGTCCACATGTTGAAGGTACCTGCCATCGGGTTCACCTTGTTTTGGGTGGCAAGGACACAAAGCTCGGTGATGGGGGAAAATCGCCTGATGCACCTGATCCTGCTCATCGAGTTCGCCATGCCGTCGGCGGCGGTGAGAGGGGGGTGTTTTATTCTGCCAGATTGTTGATGAGTGTGATATACGTTTGCTTCGTTTCCGCGGGCGTGTGGGCGTGAGCCGTTCGAGAAGGACCGTGGCGGCGCACAGGTGGCAGAGCCAGGTTGGCCACGCCTAGAATAGAACGTGACTACCTGTTTTTGACAGAGAGTACATATGAAGATGACAGACGTGGATTGTTTTAGCGGTTCAGGATAGGATGAGCCGCTGCGGCTGTACTTCTCTTCAAGATAAGCGCCCAGTACCACCGGTGGTTAGCGCTGAAGAGAACCCGAAATACCCTACCGGGAAAGCACCCATCGCCTTCGTCACGCACGTGCGCACGTGATGACCCATCACCCTGGTTATCCCTCCATGAATTCTTCCACAGTTTGTGATCGTGTCCCTGAACCAGCTACGGATGCCGGCGACCGCAGGCTTTATGGCCCGGCTGTACCTGTGGCAGTACGGGGCGTCGATGCTTACGATCACTGCGTGGACGGCGTTGGCCGTACACCTCGTGTACTGAGAATGAAAACTCGGGCAGGGGGCTGCGGGCTGAACCATCAGTGCTTCTTCTGCTGGGTTCCGTGTGCTAAATTGATGGAACGTCGAAGAGCGGCGACTCGGCTAAATTTGTTCGAGTCCTTGTTGTCCAAATGATGGGACTGAAGCGCGAGAGCCTTCTTGGCGGTGGTATTGAGCGGTCCTATGGAAGAACCCTTTAGGAATGAGCGTGCGCGCGTCTCGCCGATATTACCGTTCGGAACCATTTCCTCCAAGACACTCTCCCCTTCCTTGTAGTGCAGCAGTGGGATAGCCTAGAGGATCAGTTTATTTTGTTGTGTCTTGCAGTAGTATGCTCCAGGAGATAGGGTTCTCTTGGAATAGAGAACCCGTCACGTAACAGTTTTTTCGTTCTTTCTAGGTAGGGATTTCTTGGTGGTGCATGAACCGTACACATTTATTGGTAGTTGTTGCTAATCCAGCCCGACACATGCAGCACGAAAGGGAGTCGGTCTTCCTGGAGTTCTGCTATCAAAGGTGCAAGGTGTAACGAGCCCCCCCCCCATGTCGTCGTCGAGTACTACTGTACGTCGAGTGAGACAGGGAGAGCTGTCCAGAAAAAAACACTTTGCACAAACAGAAGCCGCTGAACAAGGAGGTCTGGGGATCGATCAGGACATGGGTCGAATCGAACCAATCTAAGCGATTGGTGTGTTACAGCCGTGGAGTTGGTTTCGTTTCACGCGCTAGCGGCTGCTCCAGCCCCACCGTATACGTTGCAGAATGCAATCAAGAAGGTCTGTAACGTACCATTTACCACAATGCCCTCTGGGGAATTGCACCTTTGACGCTCACCCATGTTGGGAAGTGAGTGTGGTGCAATTGCTCTAGTTTTGAAACCCTCGTTCAACGTCTCAAATAGCCCAGCTCAGCTAAGCTTTCCAACAGACAGCTTCGCCAAAGCCAGCGTCTCGTTGTTCGATCTTCCCTCCAAGAACTGACCATATAGAATTAGTTGTACTTCATCGCAAACATCGATTCAATACTTTCAAAGCAAGTAATCATAGTGCAACACAATAAACCGTCGTGCATGCACAAGATTCGACCTAACGCCCTTCGACGAGGGAATGGGGTGGCTGACTTCTTCTCGCCGTCAAAATAAAGGTAATGAAGGCAAGCACCGCAGAAGGAGACCGGAGAAAAAAAAAAAAAACTGCAGGGCTCTTCCTCCTGTGCGGGACACGCTGTTGCGTCCAAATCCTACACTGGAAGGCGCAAGAAACCGGTATGACGATACACTTAAATAACAAGAGTGGCCGTGGTACCCGTAGCAACCAAAACGAGCACAGAGCAGTTCGCACGCATGACCAGGAGGGAGCAATCAACAACTTTCCCTCCTCCTCCTCCTCGCGCCTGGCCTTCTTTCCCCCCAGCCACGGACATCAACGCGAGCACACCAAGCAAGATCAAAAATGGTTGCGGGTCAAGTCTAAACACAAAATGCGTTTCGTGGTCGGTGCTGGATCATGTTATTGACTCGGGGGTTCGAGCGCCCCCCCCACCCCCCGCCTGCCACACGAGGACAGCTTTTCCAACCAAGGTCTGTCAAAGTGAGCAAGGAGACAACGCCTCGGCCCTCTATCACCGTCCCTTCGTGGTACCCCGAAACACGTGGGGAGTAAGTAAGTAGAGAATATCCGCCCAAAAACGTCGGCATGCGCTGTCCGTAGCTCCTTAATACAGCATCGTTATGGCGAGGGCGGTCCAGAAGCTCACGGTTATGCTCGAAGCTGCGTACTGCCACACAAGTAGTCGTGAGATGAAGCCCGCCGTCCTCGGCAACCGAATTTGGTGAAGGAGGGGGATCATGATCTGCGACGACACGGGGGAATTTTTTTTCGTGCAAGTGCAGTGCTCGAATTCTATCGACGACAGATGGAAGAGAAAGTCACGACTAAACAAGCATATAGTCTTAACGCAGCGAAAAGCATAATTTCATTCAAAGAAGTCAAATATCGCCTGCAATTGCTGTGTCAAGCATGACATCTATTTCGAACGGAATAGGCCCGACCTCTCGGATATTGTCAGCAAGTAGACTCGCCGTGTCCTAACGCCTTCCCAGAACTTACCCGAGAGACAGCGGCACCGATGGTTCGAAGGAGGAATGGACTTGCGCGGATCAACTACGCATAGCTAAATGGGGGCAAGGTTTTACTGCCGACTGCAACACGGCGAGGTCGGAGTGGTGTTCGGAGTTCGTTTACGCAGGGCGACGACGGCGGAGAAGTACCATGAACTAACAAAAAACAGCACACAAGAGGGGGTGCACATGGTCCGGTCACCGCTCACCTAATACCCATGGGGGAGTGTCGTGTTTCTCAACCGACTAAGAAACCAGATGCGTGTTAACAAGCTATTCTATTTGATGCTGCTGTAGCATGATGATAAGGGAAGGTTTTACGAGCACCAGGTAGGCTCCGATCTAGCCCCACCGGCGGACAGGCAGGCAACACAAAGGAAGCAGAACTACCGTAGACTGTTGTGAAGACCAGCCTTCCCACCGTCGCTGTGGGCATGGCGAACTCCACCAACAGGATGAGGTGCATCAACCGGTTCTCGCCCATCACCGAGCTGTACGTCTTCGCCACCCAGAAAATGCCGAAGAACGCAGCAGGAATCTGAGCACCACACGGGACGCCACACGATTCGGCGCAAGAGACAAACAAAGGCTATTCGGCTGGAACTGTCAGGCCCAGAGCTGGAAACTCATTGCGTAGCACTACCATTGCACGGGGCTGTTCTCCCCCCCGTCCAACCCGTCCTTTTCATTTGCGCGAGGAGCACATCCACGTCTCTTCGGTCCTTTCTTCTCCCTGATTTGAGTGGCCGGTGGCCGCACAACCTTCTTCGCGTTTGAAATTGCGAGACAACTTGACGTTCTACCCCGTTCACTCGTTGTGCCCGGATTTCGCCTTCCGTGTCGTGTGTGCTGGTAGGAAAATGGCGCTTGAGGAGGTGGCCGACACGCCTACCAATAAACGAGAGACTCCCACTTAACCAGCGACAGCAGTCGTCATCGCAACTTCTCTCCGCCGTGCGGAACGTGTTCGCTTGCTGTTGACAACCTGTCTCTCGAAAAACACCACACACATTTACAGCCATCAACACAAAGATCCACAGAGAAACGCACGTGTATGGAGACTGCTTCATTGCGCTATACATACTTGGAAAAACAAAAAGAAAGAACCACGCAATCTCACAGCGACAAGGCGGAGGAAGACAAGCAAGAACCCCGTGACGAATCGGGGTCGACGCCAAATCGGCACGGCGACCTCGTTCCCCCCCGCAGGTGGTGCCGCTTCGTCGGCAACCGCCGAAACCGCCACCAGAGAACCGGCCATCACCAACGATGAAACCGTCACCGTAGGCACACCCACCGCCTTGATCCGGAGCGAAAAACAATTTGGTGAGGCGGAGTGACAACAGGATGGTATTGGCAATCGCAAGGGGTCGGCGATTGTCGGCGGGGGGCCGGAAGGGCTCATGTGGTCTGACTTACGTACATTCACGGTTCTCGTGCGAGCGTTCTTTTCCTTCTGCGGCGAAATTTTGACCGCGTGACACAAGGATTGCGGAAAAAAAGGTTTGACCGGCCGATTTCTCGGGCACCGAAGAGATCAGAAATGTCGGGCTTCCATTCTACCGGCACTGTATTGTCGCTGGCAGAACTCTACGGTTTTTTCGGGACGAAACGACCAACGACACAATTTCGGCTCCGGCTGAACCGAGATCCCATTGTCACGGAGCTGCGTGTCTCGCGCTGCTGAGCCTCGGCACTCTCTAACCCAAGCCTCTCTCTCTGTTCGACCCTACTATGTGACGGAAGTGCGGTTTCTGTGAAGGAGAATCGCGCAGCAGTACCGCTATTAAGCACCTGGATTGCTCCTCCCAGAGGGCGCAGAAGCGCCTGCGGGTTGTGGAACAGCATGTCCTGGAGGGGTTCGATCGTGCATATCACGATGCCTGCTACGACTGCCACGATCACAGGCGAAACCAACAAAGCCCACGCCCGGTGCTTCGCCTCTTCCCACGGCCCTTCACTGTCACTACCACGACCGCCGTTAACGTCGCCGGTGCCGCTGCCGCGAGCGCCGCCGCCGTCAATGACATTGCCCTCCTCTATAACCAGGAGGTCTGCCACTGCTTTGTTCTCCTTTCGCCTCCGTGGCATCGAGGCAACCTCGCTGGCGTCTGCGTCTCCGCAACCACCACGTCCAGTCTGCTCCATGAGAGTAGGTTGGTCTCTTCCAAGGGGTGTTGATTCCACCCCCACCTCGCGACTGTGCAGCGAACCGACTGGAGAGCCATGGCTCTTGGCACCCGTTCCCGTTGCTCCTGTTCCCGATTCGGTGGCCGCTCCGACAACCCCCGTTTCATCGCCTGCTGCTGCTGCGCCCGCTTGGGGGTCTACGGCTCCGCTGTCGCCTCCCACCGCCCCCCCCTCCGCCCACTCTGAAGCCCTGTCGCCATCAACCTTCGCTGCCTCAGCAGGTATCAGATGGAGCGTGTGCTTGGGGGAGGAATTTCTAAGCGTGACGCTCGATGGAGGACTAGTACTGCTGCTGACTTTCGTGATGCTGCCGTTGCCGTGGCCGCTCTGGCAGCGGGGGGGGTCTGGTGCATGTGGCGGGCCCGTGCCCCCCGACGAAATTGCTGTTTCTCTTACTGTTGTTGGCAATGGTGCCGCTGCTGGCTGGCTAGTTAGGGCTAGCTCGAGGGCGTTGTCGTTCTGGAAGCAGTAGACGCCCCACGCGTAGAACCAAACCTACGACGGGTGCGAACGAGGATCGATTTGTGTAGAGAAACGGCGGGAAGTATACCGTAGTTGTTGACACCTTCGGTAGTCATGATCGCCGTCGTCACCCGAGGTATTACCTCGACCACCCCTGTTATTTCCGCCGAGGACAGCATGCACGGTATATACCATCCCGTGGTACACTCGTCGCATGCACGGTATGTACCACAGGATGGTACCCTCGTCTCACTTCATAGCACACATCATCTTGCCCTCCTGCTTGCTCGGGAATGACTCCGTCTGCGAAAACGTCCACTACACGGCCGGTCTGATTGTGTGGTTGGTGGGAAGAGGGGACGAATCAACGGAGAAAAGGGGGCAGCGATGCAACCGCTTCAGCTGTCTCTAAATCACCTGCCAGACGGCGAGGAAGATGAAGATCATGCCGGTCGCTTGGTCGAAGCATTCGTTGTTGTCGCCGTCGAAATCGCTTTCACGCGAAGGCGGGTGCAACGGCGAAATGGGGCAGGGCGTGGGCGGTGAAGAGAGACAAACATAACTCCCACCCGGAACGAATCAAAAAGTAGGCAATAGCTACACGGAGCACGGTTCGGCCAGAAATTTGAAGATTACCCCCCCTCTCGATACAACGTGGCACAGCTGCCCCATTTTCGGCGCCATAAGCAGTCGTCCATGAGGGACACCCGGGTGCGCACCGCCGTCAACAAGCCAGTCAACAAGCCAGCCACAGACATGCAGACAGGACAATCGTGTGAGCCCCCGCGAAAGCAAAGCCTTGTTGCACATAGACTGGCAAGAGGTAAAAGAGGCAGGCACTACAGGCCACGCACACGAAACGGGCAGCGGGTTTGCGCACACCTGTTGATTAAGTCCTGCTCACAGAGCGCATCGAACAGCACCAGCGGGACTACGAGCGCGTTAGGGAACGCGATCGCCAGCTGCACCGGCCGAAACTTCGCCCGCGCGTCCCGCCGCATCAGCAGCCACCCGAACGCCCAGGCGACGCCGTTCGAAAGGCCGATCGACAAGGTGCTGCTCACCACCAAGTGCCAAGAGTCTCGCAGCGCTCCCGGGTTTAAGTTGGCCCCCATGCCGGCCAGCATGAGACAGGGCAAGAAGAGATCCATGGCCACCCTGCTGAAGTGTCGGCCGACCTCTTTCGGCATGAGGGCTGTTTGTACACACGTCGTTATTGCACGATACGCGCGGTGCGGGTTGGGTGATGATAACTGGTAGGGACCAAAGCGAGTCGTAACCGGTCCGTGAAGGTGACGGGTAGGGGCCGGGGGTGGATGGATGCAACGGGCTGCAGGAGTATTTCGAGCTTGTAGCGAGACAGGTTCTAGCCAAAAACCCAAGGGCACTTTATTGTTTTTTTTCTGTTACGTATAGTGGAAATATTCTTGTTGGGAGCTGTGAATCGGCTGGAGTTTCCAAACCTCTTGTCGCCGGTTTTCGGTGCAGTCGGTATCCAATCAACCGGTTCGCGAGCCCCCCGACGGTGGCAGTTAGATTGTATTCACGTGGGACACATTTCTCAACATTGTGTACGAGAGAGGTAGCATTGTGACCAGACAAGGATGAGTACCGGAGGCACAAAGAAAACAGGTGCTCGCAAACGCCTTTGACGCACCACGTTGGTTGATTGACAAGGTTCAATGTGCGTCAATTCTGTGCAGAGGCTTGAGGACAAATTTGATTATCCATTTGTACTTGCATCAACTCGGTGTTCTTGGTACTTCGGGATATATATTTTGCTAGCGGCCGCGAGTCTTTTCTCATGCTTCCTTCTCAGGGGCACGCGAGGGCTCTTCGGTACATTACCGCATGGCTGAGGACTATCAGCCATCCGTGATACGAGCAATCGCTGCCTGATGCACGCTGCTGTGTGGGCAGGGCTCCTCGCTCTGCTGGTTAGAAGAATAGCAATATTGCAACAGAGTAAAAAAACATCGCACTGAATCGTAAATAGATTGCTGCTATGGTTTCAGCCGTAAGATACCCCGCAGCTCATTTTCCGCCCTATTTGAACTGTGCTCCTGCCACTTTCCACATCGCGTTGCCCGATGGGCTCTATCCAGCGTTTTCCTGTCTGCCATCATTGCTCATTTTTGCGGGACAGTGCTGCTAGGTGCCGATCGTTTGGCGTTATTGCTGTAGCAGGGTGAGAGTGTCACCGCGCGCGTGTTTTGTGTTCCTCCGCCGTCGTGTGTTGTTAGATATACTCGCAGCAGTATCTGGTCGTGAGGATCCCAGGTGGACACGTGTTGGGAATTTCGTGTGTTGAAGGGTACCACCGGCGTAGTCACGGGGACCCTTTGGGCGTGGTCGGTGCGATGATGAGGAGGGCTTGCGTGCGTGCTGCGCACTTCTTCCTCTTCTTCTTCTTCCCTCTCTCTCCACCGCCACCACCGTCTCTCTCCAATCAAATTTCCTTCTCCTACTCTCTCTCCATCTCTCTCTCAACCTCTCTCTCTCGGCCTAACACGGCCGACTACCCAGTGCCCCAAAGCAACGTCCAGAACGTGCTTGCTGCACCCCGCGTAGTTTACCTTTCATGTGTGTAGTATTTGACACCCCAGCGGGGAGCGGATGTACCAGCCATGTAGGACTTGGTCGAAAGGTGGTCTCAATGTCGAAATATAATTTCTCGGAACAATCCTTCGGTAGGTGCAGCTCGTGCACAGCAACCTAGCTGTCTACCCCTCTTGTGCTGCGGCAGAGCCTGAATACGTACAGTGACCCAGCCCTTACCCCCTCTTACGCCGTGGCTTGGGCTTACACGCAGTTTGTTACTGAGCACTATAGAAGCCGAAATCAAACCGTTGGACTAGCTAGCCATAAGACTAGTCAGTGATTTCGGCTCTTATAGAAGTTAGTCTTGGGCTTGAGACTCAGGCTCGACACTTTGAAGTGCTTCTTTTCCGTGAGACCCTGAATGCTCTCGGGCCAGAGTATAGGCGACGGAAGGACTCTTGGACCGTGGAACATTCTGCACGATCGAAGTAGCTGTGAGTCGGGTTGTTTGGGTTTTGGGGTTCGAGATAGAGCTAGGGCTAAGGTATTGAGTCGTACCCTGCGGCTCATTGCCCCGCCCTACTAACACCCCAGGAACACCAGCGCGCAAGTTCAACAAAACAAGTAACCATGTTTAGTCGGTTACGTACAGCAGTATCAAGAGGATACTTACGTTCTCGTTGCGGCCTGACCGACACGATGTATCCGACGCCTAGGACAACGAAAAACCTGAACGTCCCCAGTACACTGGTGAGCAGCACCGTCGTCGTTGTATCCCCCATGTCGTCTTCTTGCTGACCATCCAGTGTGCAATCACCTCTGCGCATAAGGTTCAAAATGCAGGGCGGTTGGAGGCGGTGTAAATAGGGCACGTAGACTAGTCTATGTCCCGAAGAACCTTCTACTAAAATAGTGGCCAGGATCAAGGGCCAGGGTTTCGAAACCCGGCGTAAGCGAAGCTATTCCCTAACCCCAACCCAACCTCCCCAATTATATACTTTATTCAACATGTTTGCTGAAAACGAAAAACCTGCGAAGGCTAGACTTTTATAGTGCATAATGTGTAAGTTTTTCTCTCGCGTCCGTTCCTAGTCTGGGTGGGAAGGGAAACATAGTTCTCGTCCGCGTGCAGCAGACAGACACATAGGGAAGAGGGTGCCGCACTCTCCTCACATTGAAAATCAAAGGCAACGCACCGCAGGAGGGGTGGGTAGGGGGGCCCAGGGAGAGTAGCCCTTCTCTGTGTGTGACGACGGCTTGTCGTAGTAGAATGTGTTAAACATGCATGCTGCGAAGCGCTGATGCTGCGCTGAGAAATGCCCCGAGTTGAAGAAAAAAAAAATAACGTCTGCCGAAGAGTCGGAAGGCGTAGATCTTGAACCGGTTCTCCATCGTGGCTGACCAACCACCGACGACCACGAACAAAACACGAGCGGAAACGCAGAGACGCGCTGCGACGCTGTTTGTATGTTAGCATGTGTTTGCGATTGGCACTGCTGTACACTACACCATGAGGCACCCTGGCGGTCATTTCCTGGCGCTTGGCTGGTGTCTGTGCCTGCTGTACAGCGGGTACGAGCTCGCTAGAGCGTCCTCTCTCGCTCTCTTCAACAAGAGCGATGCAGGCCTGAGCGGAGCACTCACCTCGGCCGTGAGCTTTGTGCTGAGCGTGGCAATGCTCGGGGTGTATGGGGTTGGAGCGGAAGTGCTGGGGGGCAAGTGGACTCTCGTCGTTAGCGCCAGTGGATGCTGTGTTGTGTTTCTAGCCTTTGCGTTTGCGTGTTTCGGGGATGCGGACGTCAGCAGGACGGTTGTATGCGGCCTCTACGCGTTTCGGGAGATGTACGTGGCGTTGATAGCGACCCAGGTCTGGGAGCTGCTGTCGGCGGCGCTCAAGCAGAGAGGAGAAAGGGAATCGCGACGCTGGTTCTGCATCATCCAGGTGCGGTAGGTCCTATGCAGCAGTTCTGTGCTTGCATAGTTGCATCGCGTGAATGCTTCGTGGTTGCAGTTTTACAGGTAGATGTGACGCACGAATGTGTTGGCTACGCTGACTGTATTAGCTCAACAGTAAATGTCCCACCCGTAATCAGCGCGCACCATCGCCGTGCAAAAGGGAGAGACCCGAGCAGTGCACGGCAGCGAGAACGAATACACCGCTCCAGTGCAAGCTTTACTGCGGGGCGACCGAAAAGCAGTAGTGCGTGGGGGTGCCTTGTGCGCTTGTTTCCTTCTGAAACGAAAACCCCCCACAAAATCGCGAGAGTTTGGCAGTTCATCAAAGAGGCACACACCTTCAGCCAGCCACCGAGGTGGATGTTGTTGTTGTTGTCGTGTCCACATTAAAAACCGTTCCGATTTCTCTCTACCCAATACCTTCGTGTGTCCGTACTGATCCAACACTCGACGCGGTCGATTACCGTGGTCGCAGGCTAACTTACCCTAAAAACGTACACTCAAATTTACTGGCCCCGAGGGGTCCGCAAGTCAATAGAAATCAACGACAGATTTTCTGGAGTCTTCCACTCCCTCTGCGGTTGAAATGGATGCAACACGTATCCATGTAAATTATACACAAACGGTGGCTGAGCATACACCACCAGAAGAACAGCTGTTTCCCCTCGCTTGCCCAGTTTTATAGTTCCTTGGAGTGCCCAAAAAACCAATGAAGTAAGTATTTGACTTCTACATTGCCCAAACGTTTCCCCCGCCCGTTGACTTCTCGCCCAATCAGGGTGTATCTTGCATTTGCAGCGCCTTCTCCGGGGTAGCGGCGGGACGCCTGGCGACCGCCGGAGGCCAGGCTTACCTCCTTCTTGCAGCAGCCCTCTCCCTCGGCACCATCACCGTCACCGCTGTGGCGTTAACACCCGTCAAGGCGGGCGGGTGGGGGTTCGAAAAGGTCGAGGGGAAAACGGGCAAGAAAAAGAGTGACCACGGGATGCTGAGCGTGCTTAGGTGACGAGCAGGCCGGAACTTTTTTTTTTCGGCGTTCTGAGGCGCGGTCTGTTGCGTCGACCCATGAACGAAGTGCTGAGAGGCAAGCCATTCGCTCACGGTCTAATGTATACCCTTGAAACCTCGGACTGATGCTCGCGTGGGCACGTAATACAGGTCATTTTGCTCGAGTTTGGTTATTCCTGAATCAGCTAGGCAAGAAAATGGTGCAAGCCGTAAGTAGGGGTTCTATCGTTTTGCGTCCTACTCAGGGGGGTGTGGTGATTTGAAGGGAAAAAACTTTCGTTTCGAGTTCACCAACAAGCAGCAAAAGATGTAAATATCGTACACAACGCAGCAGAGGTGCAGAGAAAGACGGGGAAAGAGGACGATAACTACTGTAGCTCGCGGTTTACCACATAGTAAACCGTGTCTCCGACCCAAGGCATTTACAGCTACGAAGTGACAATTCATCCCCCTTTACAAGATAGCCGCTGAGTAGCTCGCGATTCTCTCCGAAAAGAAAAAAACGTACAATAGTTTTTTTGGGGGGGGTTTCAGGTTTCAAGACAACTTGTTTCCTCCTACTACGTCGTTTTTGTCTCCTATGAGCGTCTTTCGTCCTGATCCCCTCCAACTTCTTTCTACATCCCTCTCCTGGTTGTTGCCACGCAGATCAAGCGCGTCCCTCTTTCGACAGAGTCCTTTGCTGGCGGCGCTGCTAGCGGAAGCGACGGTGTGCCAGGTGAGGCCGCGGTTCGGAGCATGGTCTCCGATGGTCCTGAGCTGTTGTTGTGGCCAAGTAGACGGGGATCGAAGAAAAGATGGCGGTTTATTTCGAACATGATTATCACCTGGGACATATTGACCAAGCTCGTTAGGGTTATGGTTGAAGAGGGGGTGGCGGGGCAGGAAGGAGTGTCTCAAGCGCCTTGAGGAACCACCCTTGACTTGACACCGATGGACGATTTCGCTAATGGATGCAGAGTCTGAAGGATGCAAGTGCTACGTATGGAATCTGACCGGCTCTTGGTGGGCGAGATCCATAACGTACGGCCGGGTCGTGTGTGCTGGTTTCCCACGCCCGGCCTAGATCAGCAACCGAACGGCCGAAGACGACGACACCGCTGCTCATTGGTGATACCTCTCCTTCTCTGCTTCGCGCTGCTTGTTGTTTCCTGGTAACTTCTGGTAGAATGCTGCTGCTTTTGCTGCTGCTTCTGTTGCTTCCAACAGCTTCTTCAGCAAACGTCAGCACGAAGGATTCACTGACGTCACACCTTAAAGAACTCGTCGCCTGCTTGTCCATTCAAATTGCTTAGAAATCAACGAACAAATGTCCTCCTCTCCTGTTGTTTCGTGCCGCTTTTCATCTCACGTAATCTTGTTATTTGTGGTGGTCGTCGTCGTCGTTGTCATTTCAGGTGTTGGTAGCAACTCTAAACTTGAGCTTCAACGAGGCCATTAGACAGGGTCTCCCACGAGAAGAGGCCTCCGGTGAAACAGGGGCAGGGGCTGCGGGATTCGTAGGGAACTCGTTCGCTGTAATTGGGTAAGCCAGCACAACCGACGGCCCGCGCTGCCGTATTGTACCATGTCTACAGCATGCGGGAGTGCTGTTGTATTGCTTGCTTCGGTCTTGTGGGAATCGTCTCAGGTGTGCAGAGAAGGGGCGGGGTCACGATATGCGCAGTAGCCCTTGCAGCAGCAATCGTGCATGGAAAAGAGGCTCTCAGATCTTACGCAGTCCGATTCCTAGCCTGTCTAGCGTGTGTCCACTATTAATACTGCTGCCCCCCCCCGCCCCGGTGTTTGCCATCGGGGTTGGGTTTTGGTCGCTTGGCAACGACGTTGTAAAACAAGCCAATTCACTTCGTGAACTCGGCAACCAGGTTACCGTTTTTTTTTTACCTCCGTTTTTTTTTTGGCGGTAACCATAATGGTGGTCGAGTAGATCATGTTGTGCGGGATCGAGATACCTCACTCCGCGCAAGGGGGATGATCGCACCACGTTGTGTTAAAATGGTCAAGCACGCTCGAGGCAGTTACACAGTGCTTACAGCTGTCTCAGGAAGTGAAAGCGCCAGAAAATAAATTAAGTCATATGCAGCTGTCATCCGTACGCAAGGAAGTAAGCACAAGATGCCGAAAACCCTTAGCAGGATGCAGCGCACCCTTCATGCGACTCGCCGAATATCTCACGGCGCTTCGCGCTTGGTGATGTGAGAGCCTGGTCCGGTGAGAAGCCGGCGTGCTCCGTCCCGGCTTTGTAGGGATGCGAGGTCAATGGTCTGACGACTACAGCATGCACGACTATGAGTACCCCCCCCCGCCCCCCCCCCGCGACAGCTTGGTCTCTGGCATTTTGCAGCTGGTGGTGATGCCCTGGGCGATGGTCCGTGTCAACCCTTCCCTCCTCTTGAAGACACTACCCGTCGTTGCGGGCGGCGGTTTCCTGGTGACCTTCGTGTCCCCGGGGTTTCGAACCGCCACAGTGGCATTCTCCGTAACGAAGATCCTTGAGTATAGCGTCAGGTGCGTCAACGGAAAAAAGCGACGGGGAAGTCACGGTGAACGTGCTGCCGTACCTATGTAAGCGAGAAAAGGGGCCGGGAATTTCCGGTGAAGGTGCTACGTATGTGCATTCGAAAAAAGGGGCCGAGAGGTCTCGGTAAAGGTGCTACGTGTGTTTTTGTGCTACGTGTGCCTTCGCGAACAAGGGCCAAATATGTACAGTACGTGCCGACTCAACTGACATGAGAGCACGTGGGGCGGCACAGGAGCATTCAGTCACACCAACTCGACCGACGACCGCCTGCTCATCTGCCGCCCCACATGAAGAATCGTGCTCGTACTACTCCTCTGCGGTGAACCACTAACAGCCGTAAGTTCGAAGGGTTTTGAAAATGAGTGAGGCCACTCAAAAAGCCAGCGTGTGGACAGCAGTCGTCTCACAGAGAGAAATGCCAACGCAACGCCCTAGAAAACGCACGGGCATTGGGCCACAAGCTCACACGAGAGCCCGTCGCGCGACGGGAGATGTTTCTAGCTAAAAGCGTTGCCGAGGGCAGGCGTTATCTCTCACCACGCACCCGCTTCCATACCGTGCGGGCCCGGCGTTGAGAAAAGGGCACCCCGGGTGCTCTACAACTTCCGTTCCGCGAGAGGAGCCCGGCGAACTAGGTTATCGTAGAAGAGAGAACCTTGGTCCCGCCCTTACACACCAGCTGTCCCCCATCGGTTCTTTTTCTTCGTTCTGTTTCTGTCACAATCACCGCCTTGTGTTAACAGCTGTAAGTGTGCTTTTTTTTCTGTCTGTTGATATGAATGTTTAGTTTGTCTTTGAACACTTTTTTCCCCGTGTTTTCTGTCTCTTGGTGTATATGTTGAAAGTCACCGGCTTGTCTAACAACTTGCCTTGTGTTCTTTTCTATCCCTTGTGTGTGTGTTTCCTCATGTGCTCGTGGTGTTCTCTAGGGGAACAGTGCTGGAGTTGGTGTACCAGGCCATGGCCGACGACGAGCGCCGCTTGGGTGAGTGAGAGTGAGAGTCAGAGATAGAGGTAATCACTTGTCAGTTGTGCCACATCCTGAGTCTCACACGTAGGGCGAATAACAACACAAGGCGTCATGGCATGTACCGTAGTCGTGACAGGGTCGTCTAACAGAGAGAGAGAGAGAGAGAGAGAGAGAGAGAGAGAGAGAGAGAGA